ACCTCAATTCCCTTACTGGACACTCGATGCCCCAGGACTATCCCTTCTTGTACCATAAAATGGCACTTCTCCCAGTTCAGCACTAAATTTGTCTCCACACATCTTTTGAGCACTCTTCTTAAGTTGTGAAGACAGTCCTCGAATGAATCCCCCACCACGGAGAAATCATCCATAAAAACCTCCATAATGTCCTCCACCATGTTTGTGAAAATGGCTAACATGCACTGTTGAAATGTCGTCGGTGCATTGCAAAGCCCAAAAGGCATTCTCCGAAAGGCGAAGATGCCATACGGACAAGTGAATGATGTTTTCACTCTATCTTCGGGGGCTATTGAGATCTGGTTGTACCCCGAATATCCATCCAGGAAACAAAAGTGCGATCGCCCGGCCAGCCTGTCCAACATTTGGTCAATAAATGGCAAGGGGAAGTGGTCCTTCCGGGTGGCTGTGTTCAATTTCCGGTAATCCATGCAAATCCACCATCTCGTGACTGTACGAGTCGAGATCAACTCGTTGTTCTCATTTTGTACAACCATCATTCCCCAATTTTTCGGCACACATTGAACAGGGTTGACCCAATAGCTGTCAGAGATGGGGAAGATGATTCCCACATCTAACCATTTGATCACTTCCTTCTTCACCACCTCTTTCATATTCGGGTTCAGCCTTCGTTGATGTTCTCTGAAAGGTTTGTGCCCTTCTTCCAAGAGAATCTTGTGCATACAGAAGGCTGGGTTGATACCCTTTATGTCTGCCATGGTCCAAACAATGGCAGTCTTACATTCCTGTAGTACTTGTAGGAGCTCCTCTACCTGCCTATCTAGCAAACCGGATGATATAATGACAGGCAAAGTAGAATCAGGGCCTAAGAAAACGTACTTGAGGTGAGCTGGGAGCGGTTTCAGCTCCAGCTTGGGTGGTTCCTCTACTGATGATTTTGCTGGAGGTGTAGCCCTTTTTTCCAACTCAAGGGACTCGAACTGAGGTTCCCTTTTCCAGAATCCTTGGCCTTCCAGTGCCATGACCCACTCAGCTAACCCTTCACTATCCATCTCCTCTAAATTTGTTAGGCAAGCTTCCAATGGATCTTTAGCAGTCAAGGTCACCTCATCTTCGTGCAGGATCACATCCACTGCCTCCACTAGGGAGCAATTGGTATATTCACTGGGTCTCCTCATGGATTGCTGAACGTTGAATATGACTTCTTCATCGTTCAGCCTCATTTTTAATTCCCCAGTTTCACAATCAATCAGTGCTTTCCCAGTGGATAAGAATGGCCTCCCTAAAATGATAGGTATCTCCTCATCTACCTGACAATCCAGAATAACAAAGTCTACAGGGAACACAAACTTCCCCACTTGTACCAACACATCATCAAGGATCCCAGTTGGCCTTTTAATCGTGCGGTCAGCCAGTTGCAACAGCATCGAAGTCGGTCTAGCTCTGCCAATGCCCAGTTTGGTGTATATAGCCAGAGGCATCAAATTTATGTTGGCTCCTAAGTCACATAATGCCTTTACAAAGGCATAACTTCCAATGGTGCACGAAATGGTAAAGCTACCTGGGTCAGACATCTTTTGAGCCATGGGTCTTGTCACTACTGCGATGCAGGTCTGCGTCAGAGTTACTGTGAATAGGTCCTAAAAATCAAACTTCGGTGACATTAGGTCCTTCATCATCTTCGCATAGCCTGGCATCACCCTCAAGGCATCCATCAAAGGAATATTCAACTGAATTTGACGCAACATCTCCATGAATTTCCTGTATTGATCTTCCTTCTTTTGTTTTACCAGTCTTTGAGGGAATGGTGCAGGTATCACCCTTTGTGTACTGCTTGCTGGCTTCTCTCTGTTGGGGTTCTGTGGTACAAGAGCTACCACTTGTTCTGCAGCTTGTTCACTCACCTTAGCCTTACCCTTTTCATCCTGACCCTGTTCAACCACCACTTCAGTAAGTTCTGCTGGTTCATCTACCTCTGGTGGAACTGGAGTGGCTGGCCTAGTCTCCTTGCTGGCTTGTGAAACTTCTCGCTCTTTGTCTAAATCTCTCCCATTCCGGAGACTTATTGCCATCAACTGATTCGGGTTTTGCTCCTTGGGGTTAATGTTTGTGTCCGCTGGCAATGTTCCCTAGGGGCAGTTATTTAAAGCCATAGACAGTTGCCCCAACTGAGTTTCAATGTTCTTTATTGCTGAGTCATGCACTACCAACTTTTCCTGCATCTTACCATTTGTTCCAATGAGTTGTTGAAGCATACCCCTGATCTCTACCATGTTGTTATCTTGTTGCTGAAGAGGTGGTTGACATGTCAACTGTTGCTGATTTTGCTGTGGATAGCCCTGTTGTCTCTGATATGGTACTGGCATTTGGCCTTAGGGTTGCATACCTCCAGGCTGTGGCATGTTTGGTCTGTATTGCTGATTTGGTGCCGGTCTCCACTGCTGTCCTCCTTGTCTCTGACCCCCAAAGTTGTTGACTTAATTCATATCTTCTCTTACCCCTTGATTGTCACCTTCTCCACTCCATAAACACACATAAGACTGATTAACGCAGGGTGTGCACAGTCCTCCATTTGTTGTGTCAACAATATGCACTTGCTTTGTACCCATCTCATCAATCTTCTTTGTCAGTATACTCATCTGAGTCATGATTGTGGCTATGTTCTCTGCATGCGAATTATTTTGGTCAAGAGGAACTAAATGTACTATGGGTGCCAGTGTTGTACCTCTAGTCATCCACCCCGAATTCTGGGACATCTTGTCAAGAAGGACTTTGCACTCGGTGAATGTCTTACTCAAAAATGCACCTCCAGCTGAAGCATCCACATTGGCCTTGAGATTGTCAGCTAACCCCATGTAGAACCTCTGACCGAGCATCTAGTCTGGAATACCATGGTGAGGACACTTCACTAACATCCCTTTGAATCTTTCCCAAGTTTCCTGCAAGGACTCAGTAGGATGCTGCTTGTACTGCAATATCTCATCAATCTGTCTTGCAGTCTTGTTGGGCGGGTAGAACTTGTTCAGGAACTGCTTGACTAATTCCTCCCACGTGACAATGGAATTTTTGGAAGCGAATTGAACCAAGTCTGAGCTTCCCCAGTCACAGGGAACGGGAACAGTAACAGCTTGATAGCTTCCGGGGTCATATTAGGCTGCCTTTGGGTCACACAAATCGACAGAAAAATTTTTAAGTGTTGCTGAGGGTCTTCAATGTGTGACAGGGAGAACAATCCCTTATTCTGCACATGTTGTTGGTGATCTGGAATGTCTCCGCTTGAATTGGGGGCACAGCTATGGCAGTAGCCAGGTTGTCAGCTGTAGGCTATGCCCAATCATAAAGTGCAGCTTCTGGCACAAGAGGTGCCACTACTCTGGCGTTTGGGGCAGCTGGCGCATCCCCGACGTTTCCGTTGACGTTTTCTACGTCACCCATGTCAAATTCAAGCTGGTGTGGTTGTTGTGATTGTTGGATCCTCTTGTTGGCACGGTCCAATGCCCTGAATGTTTTCTCGGGGTCTGAGAGTCCTTCTAGCAGTTCTCCAGTCCTCGAAGAATTTCTAGGCATACACCTGAATTCCACAAGAGTTCAAACGTGAGAATTTCAATGAAAAAAAAATTGTTTAACACCTTCGAAAATTGATCTAAACTAATAATTCTAACACTGCTTCTAAGTTGTAATAAATAACACCGTTAGTTCCGCGGCAACTATGCCTTCTAAAAGACAAAGCGGTCGTTGCAAATATAATCTGGTTTTAAGTCCAGAGTCGAATCCACAGGGAACTAACCTATCTATTACAACTCTTTAGCAATGCTATTATCAACTCAACCAATTTCTAGATGCAGAATTTTTATCAATCAATCTTGGGTTTTTGTTTAACTACTTCAAATGATATTAAAAATAACAATATGCTAAACTGAAGACAATTCAATGGTAAAAAGGTCTAGGGCAGTGATTTCCCCAATTGCTAGTTTAGGTCCTGACTCCTTCGCTATAATCTTGTCGTAATACTCTATGAGGATTAAGAGCTATAGGTTATCGTAATTATCTCTCGATCAACTACGATAATTTACTAGAGCATTCTCTCGAACTGTTCTAGCTGACAATTTGTACAACTCTAATTTATCCCACCAAAGCTTCGTTATCTCTAAACCCACTTTTAAGTTCAAGTAATGAATCTCTTCAATTACCCAAAAATGATGTTGTTCAACAGCATTCTAACCTAATATTCTTTCTCAAGCAATAGAAGGTAATTAGACACGATTAATCAAGGGCACATTCAATTAATCACCATACAAAACGTAGTTGAACAATCATATAATAATTCCGGCTCGATTATAACAAGTTGAGTCAAAACTTCAACCAACAATTGCTTCCATCAACCCTAGATCAATTGTTTAGCTACTCATAACAAAACAAGACAAAACTACAAAGTTGTTCATAATGTGTAATTGCAAGAATTAAAAGGAGATAGAAAAACTCTAATGTTTGGTTGATCTTCTCACACTTGTTCTTGCCTCCAAATTAGTCTAAAAACAAGCTTAATCATGTCTTGGGCGAGCTTCTAAAGTTTATAAGGGTTTGGAACAAGTTTTCCCCGAATTACACTTTGGTCCCCAATTTTCTGGCAATTGAACAGTTCACCGCGGCCGCAGCAAGACCGCGGTGCGACCGCGGTGAAGGCTGAACATTCTGCCTCGCGTAATTGTCTGCCGCGGTTCAACCGCGATTCCACCACAGTCGCGGTGGATTTCACCTCAGTCCATTTTTGCTTCTTTATGCTCGGGTGCTTCTTGATTGGGCGTTTTCTTCACATTATTGACTCCAAAACACTCCGTAGTGCTTCCTCACTTAGATTATTCCCTGCAAAGCAAAAGAACACCAATTAGAGCATTTTGTTATCAATTTGCCTATAAAACAACAATAAAGCATGGTAATATTAAGGTGTAAATATCATCTGTATAGCCTAATATCAACACCCCACACTTAAATCATTGCTAGTCCTCTAGAAATCCACCACACTCTATCAACGTTCCTTCCCTAAGCTTTTCCCTTAAGGAATCACACCTTGAACAATTTACCAAAGTTGCACCTAGTAGTGAACAACCTTTGCCTCAGAAGTCGATCTCGTACCATGCAATATTCGCACTTACTCAAACTACTCTATACAGAAGTCAAGACTTACCTTTCCTTTGTGAGTCGCATGCCCTCACATCACACAAGAGGGTAGTTCCACAATTGATATGATTAAAAACAATTAGGAACTCAGATGGAAAAAATTCGCTCACTCTCCAAAAGAACATGCACATGCCACAAAGATGCACCATAGGCTTGCCCGTAGTGTAATACTCTACTAATCGAGCCTATCCAGTCTAAGATCAATTAGGACTTCATTTGGTTGTAATGTAGGCTGAGGGATGGGTAGGATATATTGGATATAGTGACTAACCTCCCTAAGCACTTTTAATACAGAACACATTAACATTCCATATTATTCTTATGTCAACCAGGCATTCCACCACAATTTATTTACAACATCCCATTCCTTTAGGTGCATTTGTGTCAAGCTACCACTTGTCAACTACTACATTTATTCACAATTTTTTTTTCGTGGCGCTTCTTCTTTTATTCTTCAAAACTGCACCTTTCCTCTATTTCATTGGCTCCACTCAAACCAAACCACCACCCTACACTTTAACTTTTGCATATGCCAAGGCCATTCAAGTGCTCATGGGAGGTAAAAGGGATTCAAACAGAAGGCTATTCAAACAATTGGGTAAGGTTCGCAATGTGGTTGCCAAAGAAACAGGCTTATAGGCTTAACGGGGTTAACTACGATGTATTACATTCAGGTGGGGTTACGTTATATATCTGGCTTACAAAGAAATGCCTATATCACTTCTAAGACTGAATGAAGCTACTATTTCGCTTTGCAAACACACAGGGCAAGTTCTAGGCATCAAATGTAAAGCATAGGATACAGTATAGCTCACACACACATGGCATATGACTCACTCCAGATTGATTTATCAAGACATTCTCTTTTGAGTGTTCAAGTTAGTTACAAACATACAACTTTAAGGCACTTTAGCAAGAGTCAACCATTGAGACTAGGCGTTACACTCTAGTGTCGATTGTGTTCAGGTGTATTACCGCCAAGGGATTCTCATTCTATTTCAGCTCGTAGCCCATCAATGCTAACTAAAACTAAAAACAAAATAAACAAAAACTACCTACACCCGGTTCAAGCTAAACCCTTGGAAAAGAATCGTGGTCCAAAGAAAAACCAAGGGGGAGTTACTACACTACCTAAAAATAAAAT